GAATGCTTTCAGTTCACTTTTAATTTAATTGGACTTCAAAGCAATTTCTTAGGACTACATGCATAGTGATTAAAAATAATTAATGTGTCTGTTTGGAAAAAAAAGGCAAGATTACAGACCAATTCATAAAAGTCACTGTTTAGTTATAATTCAAGTTTAGTTGAGACAATTTGATTCAACTATAAATGTGTTTTAAAACATTACATGATGAGAAAATTGCATTTCATCCTAACTCAGTCCCCATTTATATTAATTTTCAGGAAAAACTGAAAATTTTAAAAATTCTTTCAAGGATACTAAACTTTCCATTGGTTCCATCAGTCTGGCATTTTATAATGGACTCTGGGCATACGATGGATGGTAAGATGTTTTTACTACTGTTATCAGTTATAGTTTAACAGTCTTTACCTGGTTTTATCTCTCCTTGTAAAACTCACTCAAAGGTCTTATTTGGAAAAGTTGAAGTTTGACTTGTTATTGAGAATCCTTGTAATGAACACTGGAGAAGAGCACTCCTATCTTAAACAAAACAAAACAAAACTCCACATCATGTCCTTAATGGGGGAAAAAAAAAAAAAAAAAAACAGGCCAGGCCATGGGAGTCAGTGATACAGTACTGCAAGTGCTTAGAATCTATGAAAATTAGGCTGGTATAAGACTATAACGCTTTAATTCAATATATTCCAGAGAGGTGCCAAGTCAATCCCTTCCTCCCTGAAACTGGATTCCTTATTAATGCAGAAAACAAATACACCCAGAATAGGACATTAGGCAAAACCTTTACACGCTGCTTAAGACCTCCTCTGGAAGGACCATATACAGCAGTGGGAAGATATTACATTCATATCCAAATGTGGACATTCATATCCAAATGTGGTGAGATTAATCAGGATACTTTTTAAAGCTACATATTCTCAATACTGTATCCTTTCTTAAACAACATTATCATTTTCCTGGAACATAGATGCATGACAGCTAGAGAATAGAGTTTGAGTTATAAAGTCCATAAGTTTAATCTTTTATTTGTTCAGTTTACCATATATAAGAACATGGGAACTTCTGGAATCCACAGTAATATGACTGAATTCCCCAGTCTTCTTAGCCATTAGGTCATAGCTGAAAAGGACTGTTTTTTCTGCTTTAAATGTATTAAGGTCAAATACTGATGTATTTATTTTTATTTCATAAAAATATTTCCTATCTAAAAAAAGTGTTGGAAGAATGAAAAGACTTGTTTCCATCTGATACAAATATTAGCCTAAAACTGTGGTCTAAAGAAAATGAGTATTTGAGATATCCCAACACCTGGTTTCCAAGTAAGTTGACATTTGAACAACTGACCACTAGTAACATTATGCTAATGGTTTTCTTCCAGGAATCAGCTAAATTACATTACAGAGGAACTTAAAAATCCTTACAGGTGAGACCCAAAAAGATAACACTAAGTTTAAGAAGCAGAATTTCTAAAGGACCAATTAAAGCCTTATAAGTGTTGAGAGAAAACATATATTTTAGTTTCTCTTTGATCAGATTGGTACTCCAAATGTTATGATGCTTGCTCACATATATTCTACCCTGGATTTTACAATTAGTTCTGGACACTTATCAATTCCATCTCTATTGATGTCTATTATACCCCAACAAATAAATGCAAATTTATGCCCTGAATTACAAAAAATGCATTCTAATCAAATTTTTAAATGCTCTTGATGCTACTTTTAACAGCATATATGATTTCTGAATATCATCTATACAGTTAATGTAGATAGGCAGGAGTAATCACAAATAATCAGGATGACAGTGCATGACTCAGGAAGTCCTGAGATGCATGCATCAGGATTTCTATCAACTTCCTCAAGAAATCCTTACAGTGCAAGATAGGTCCTAAATAACATTGACAAAATAAAACAAAAAATCTCCTACCCTTACATTGGATTTCTCAGAGTAAATCATAACACACAGTGATGAGTCAATCTCATTTTCCTGGTAGACTGACAACTCACTCAGACAAAATAGATAATGAAGAGGTTCTCACTACGAAGTATCACTCTGATGAGAGGCTCACTGGAATTAATTCATTAACAAAACTAGTTAATGACTCTAAGTAAGACCAATAATCCATAGTAATAAGCTCTAAATATCAGTAGCAATAAACTGAACTAGATGGGAGAACACCTCCACCCCGAAGACCCCCCTACCTTTGACTTTGCAAATAAACTGGATTACTGACCTTAGAATGCGTCTGTCAAAAGCTGCCGTATCTAAAGTTGCAATATCTAATTGAAAATATTTAGGAAAATGTAAAACATCTTGAAATCAACCATTACATAGTGTCTTCCCTATAGAGGCTGCCTCCTCCCTAAATTTCTGCTCATGAGGGGGCTTTCCCTTGGTCTTACAAGCATTTAACTTTGCTGCATCCACCAAGTAATCAGCAAATCGACAGTTTGTTTGGGGGTTTTTTTTGCTACTTTCATTTATTTCCTTGTGCAACTACCATTATGGTAATCAATATTTTGAATGATTTTGTTTTCTCCATATAAAATGCTGAGCCTTATATGCTCTGATTAAGTGAGGGCTGCTTTCCTTTGAGACATGCTTAAAGATGTATGGGGTTTGGGGGGTGAGAGAAAAGGAAAAAAACTTTCAGGAAGGTGGGATGCTTTTCATGAGGAATTTCTTATTTATTTATTTTTTAAATGTTCTTTAAAGAGAGGCTGACCTCTACATTTAAAGCAAGTGGAAGCAGCAGCAGCTGTGGAAGCTTCACACTGCCTATACACATGCGAGAGGGGAGGGGAGCATTTTAATTACAGTGGTTCCCAGACAGCTGCTCTAATTAATACATGCGACAGTGAGCAGGTTTAAGTGTCCGCCCCCCCCCCCATTTCAAAATAGCCACAGAGGCACTTTAACTAAAGATCATTCAACAAGGTTTAGCTAAAGTGCCCCTGTGGCCATTTTGAAATGTGGGAGGCTTAATACACATGACAGTGAGGTAACGCTGGAGCGTTTCAATTAGAACAAGCACGTCTATAGGCAGCCTTGGTTCCCAGCCAAGTCTGAATAAAATAAAAATTATAAGCCCATCAGGGGAACCAGAAGCATAAATGTCAGAGGGCCTGGGAAATACCATTTAAATAACAATAAAACATCCCATTCCAGTTGTGAGAACTCAAACAAAATATTGTATTGCTCTGGTTAGCGTATACACTCCATTGATTTACTCTGTCAAATATACATGGTTCACATGCAGTAAAATGCAGCGTGGAAGGAGTTGCGACCCACCTTAGATTAATTTCTTTAGCTAATATTTAGTATGATAGTGCATGACAACTAAAAAATTCATCTCTTCTGGGCAACAAAACCCAGACAGTGAAAATGTAAAATAATTTAAATGATGAAAAAGGACACTTGGATTCTAAAATTTCTCCAACTTGAATAATCCCTGATATTATGACAATTAAAGAATGTGCCTGAATGCTATTATCTCGAACAATGATCCTTCAACCGTAGTGAAACAAATGACATACAATAATTGGTAGTGAAGACACCTGACTAAAGGATTTTAAATCAGAACTAAAACTGAAGGAAGCCTATAGTCATTATAATAAATATACCTACCAATTTAGAAATGCTGATACCATATCTTTTAAATTCTTTAGAAATCTACCGCTATCTATAATCATTGGAATTCCTCTGGTTTCAGTTTGCTACGTTCTGATTAATATTTCATATTTTACCATAATGACTTCAACAGAACTTCTACAGTCGCAGGCAGTTGCAGTGGTAAGTCAAGTCACCTTTCATTTTGTAATCAGAAACATCTACTGAAATACTGCACATGTTAAAGAACTAAGTCCTAATAAAAACGCAGTTATGTTCTTTAGTTATTTCTCTCTGAACATAAATTGGCAGTACGATTGTTTTGTTAATGTAAATATATTTTAAATTAATCTGACAAAAATAATTCGCCCCAGGCCATAATAATGAGAAGCAACTGGAAATAAGAAAATGTTTCCATCAATATTTACATTTTACAAGTACTACAGTTCAGAAAACTGGTTTTAACATATACTCAACAGAACAACAACATACAATTGACCTTATTTTGCTCCTTTCCATCCTGACTGGTATTACTGAGATGGCAAGTGGCTATAAGCAGACACTAAGTCAAGCTGTTATCCTTTCAAAGATGCAGTCGCCATCTCATTTAATCCCTGTCCTGGTCTCCTTTTATTTGACGTTACACATGGGCAGGTAGCTGTTAGGGAACAAGCATTTGACATTTCAGAAATGCCTTTTGTAAATTCTTGGCAGGTATAGTATTGTACAAGATTTTACTTAACATTTTAAAAGGTAATTTAGAAGTTTTAAATTTTCAAAAAAGAGAATCCCTCCCCACACCTAAGTTCCACTGAATGAATATGTAGTTTAACAGAACCGTAATTCCCTAAACAGTTGGCGAGATGCGCATGGGACAGTTTTATTATCAGTAGAAAAACATCAAATTCCTTTAGCTCTGTGGAAAATAAACAGACGTTTCATGACGTACTGCATTCTTTATTCAGAGCATTCATGCAGAAACAGTTCATAAAACAGTGCAGAGAAAAAACAGAATCTTGTATTTTTAAGGCAGCAGGATTCTAGTTTATTTCAAGATTAATTGTTCACCAAAACAAAAAAAAGAGGTTGTACAATGTGTATGCATAAATAGGTCGAATTTTAGGATTACTATTCTATAATCTCCTTTATCAACATATCATCTATAAATCAATCACTTTACACCGCCTATTGTGGAAGCAATTTAACTGGGTCAATACTGACACTAAAATTGCAGGCATATCACCTCACTAGACCTCAAATGCATCACTGTAGACTATCAAAAAAACAACAACTTTGGAGTCCGGTGGGAATGGGCTGACAGGTTATCTGGGAGTTCTCTTTTAACATTATCACTATTGTGCAACATCCCAGCATTGTGTTAGGCAAAACTGCTGCTTCTGTATCCTGAAGAGATGGCAGATAGCAGTAATCTGAACCTCAAATGTTATTAATATTTTCATATCATCTTTTGAAAATTTAGAATGTCACCCCAGTAAAATGAAAAATTACTGTATCATGGACAGATATACCCACACTAGATTTAATCCATCAAGAGTAAAAATAAAGCCACAAAGACATGGTAGTTTAGCCTTAAAACATGCACTAAGAACAAAAATATGGACTTCCAGTACCTGGCAGGCTTATATACTGCTTTCTTGCTCATAGTGAAGTTCATGTTCCCGTATCTTCTCCCCTCCCATTTCTACTAGCTAAAACTAGCCTGGGTGTGCCAACTTACACAACAATCGCATCTTCCTTTTGTTACATAGACATACCCTAAAATTTAATTCAGGTTCTTAACCAAATATAGTAGTCTGTTCAAGATACATTATATCTGTATTTAAATAACCCCAGCATTTACTTTCCTGGTTTAAACAGCAGTGTAACAATACTGCAATGGCTGCATTCCACTAAAGCAGCCTTTCGTTAAAGCAGTGGGTGAAATATTTCCACAGTGTAGTTGTTTTTTTATCCCATAGTATTAAGCAAATTTTGCTTTTGTTTTATTTTTTAATCTGTATAGACTTATTTGCAGGATTTCTTTATGAATGGTTCCTGCACAACAGAATACACCAAAATAAATATGTTAATTGTGTCTTTATTTTAATTCTGTATCTCAGACATTTGGGGATCGAGTCCTTTATCCAGCTGCTTGGATAGTTCCTCTCTTCGTGGCCTTTTCTACAATTGGAGCTGCCAACGGGACCTGTTTTACTGCTGGCAGGTAAATTTCAAATTTAAATAGCTGAGTACATGATATGGATTTACAAGTGAAATCTTACCTTTCCTTGGACTAGGAATTTGAACAAGCTGTTGAACAGCATGGTCCACACAAGCAGGGGCATGTATTCGCAGTAGCAAAGATAGTAGGGCATAAGTTTGTGCTGCACTGCACGCCCCAGCTCATGTGGTTTGCAGTGGGACACATTGCCCCACTGCTCCATGTGCTGCAAGGGGGGCTGGTTGGGATACATAGTAACTCAGTGCATGGTAACTGGCAGGCAGCCCTTGCTGCGGCACCCTGTGCCCCAACCAGCAGGGGAGCAGATGCCTTCTCCCCTGTTTCTGTGCACTGCAAAGCTCCTGCGCTGAGACACCCTGCACCCCAGCCGCTCCCCAGTTGGCCAGGGCACAGTGTGCTTCAAAATGGGAGACTTCCGGCTCCCAGTGGCCTTGGGCTCACTGCTCCTGTCTCTGCATGCCTCCTTGCGGGGGCTCCACTGCAGAGCCATGCACTGAGGCATGTGGAGCCTATATCTCCAGCCACACTGCACCCCGGCCAGCTGGGGTCTGGCTGGCTGAGGCAGTGTCCCTTGAGATGGGGGCTCTGCATGCCTCAATGCAGGGGCTCCGCAGTGTAGCCCCTGCACTGAGGCATGTGGAGGCAGGGGAGCAGCCAGCTCAGGACTGCCTCTTTCACTGTTTTGAGGCACACTGCGCCCTGGCCAACTGGGGCGGCTGCGGTGCAGGGTGCCGCTGCATGGGGGCTCCGCAGCACACAGAGATGGGGGAGCTGGTATCCCTGGGCTGCCTGATCCCCCATCTCCGTGTTTGTCTTGGCACATGACATCTTGGTGTGCTTTGTGTGGCTTTCCCCCTGCCCAAGGGATTTTTTTTTTTTTTTGCTACCCAGAAATCCTGGTAGCAAATTTTGCCCTAGCTCTACAAATTAGCAGCACGGTGCAAGATATAACATGCAACAGTTGCAGTTTGTGGTGCTGGAAAGATCTTTGTGGTGCCATAAACCACATGGTCAAACTTGACCTGTCTCTAACAGAGGCAGTTATGCAGGTTTGAAGAAACAACAAAAAAACATATTTAGTAATGTTTGGCAAAGAACTTTTAAAACTATTTAGCTATAGGTAAAAATATCTGGTTCAAGTAACAGGTGGCAGTGAAAAAAGAAAATAAAGGTCCAAACAGGAATCTGGGGAGGGTCTATACCATAAGTGATCAAATATGATGAAGATTCAAGTTCATTCTTCTGCATTTTTATTTGCTTCTTACTCTAACTCAAAACGGCCTAGTTTTTAAATCCATATAAACACCATAGCCCTGAACACTTGACATCAACATTTTACCAGTGAGATCACTTTTTCCATAGGAAGTATTGCAAGGCAAGGAGGGAAGGGGG